AAAAAAAAAAAAAGCAAAGATGCTTAGACCCTTCTGCTCAGAGAGGGAGCCTTCCTTCCAGTGGCCAGACAGGTAACCCAGTGATTGAAACTGGCAAGGAGGTCAGGTGGTGGATGAGGAGGGCACACAGTTCAGAAGCAGCCAGATGGCAGTAGGGATTAGCCATCTTGTCACTCTATTGTTGCCAGAGGAGCAGTAGATAATGAAACTCCTGACTTGTACCAGTTGGCAACTGATTCACATTTAACATTGTGTGGGGCTGGGGCCAGGTGTGCTCAGTGGTTGAGCACCTGCCTGGCATTCTCCAGGCCCTGTTTCCCTACCAGCTCTGGGGGAAGACACCTGCGGCCCAGATCTGTGGTCTGTGGTCTGCTCTCACCTTTCTCACCTTTGCTTAGAGTGTTCTGGATTTCCTCAGGAGGCCTGAAGGCAGTTGAAGGCACTGGCTTTGGAGCCCAGTAGACCTGGGATGACCAGAGGCCTAAATACTCCAGCTGTGCAGCGTAGGGCCATACCCTGAACTTGGAGCCTCTGTTTGTTCTTCTCTGGCCAGAAGTGTCTTCTGCTTCATGGCAGGTGTGGGTTTGGGTTGAGGGGTGTTCCTGAGCTGCTGATCTCAGTGCCACAGTGAAAGTGCAGGAAGCAGTAGGCTCCTCCTGTTCTGTGTGGCAGGTTTCTGGGCTTACTTGTCACACCAGGCCACCAAGATGGTCCTTGGGTTCTTCCCACTGAGTCATTCAGCAAATGTCTGAGTGTCCAGAGCGGCCTAGCCTCGAGAATCTGCCTTAGTGCCTGCAGGGCCCCATTTTGTCTGCTGCACCCAAGCCCACCTTTCCTCCTGGGACAATGAGACAGGGTGGTAACTTCACAGCCCAAGCAGCCTGGGTGCCAGCTCAGTTCCTGTGGAATGGGCCACACCTTGTGAGGATTTGTAGGGCGAGGGGTATTAGCACTCAGCCGAGTACTTGGCACAGAGTACTTGCTCACAGTGATTGTGGTAGCATCGACAGTTCAGTTTCTTTGAAGCACTTGTGCGCTGATCACTTAACATTCCTGGGGACGTACTGTGTGGTCCAGGTGCTGTTGAGGTACTACTCGGGATGGAGTGATGCCTGAAACTGACAAAATCCTTACCTCATGAAGCTCACAGTGCAGAGTGTAAAACAAGCCGAAGGGGAGCTAGAAAGTCTGGTATGTCAGGCGGTGGCAAGTGCTGTGGAGAGAAGCAAAGCAGGAAAAGGAGCTTGGGAGCGGAAGGGCTTGCAGTTTTAAATAGGGTGGGGGGTGAAGCCTTCCTGAATAGGTGATATTTAAGTCATGAACAGAAAGTGGCAAGGCAAGGGAGGGCTCCCAGGGAGGGCAATGTGGCATGGTGGGAAGGAGTTGGTGTGTGAGTGTGTGTGTGTGTGTGTGTGTGTGTGTACGTGTACGTGTGTACGTGTGTGTACATGCATGCACACAATCAGAAAAGACTGTAAGGGAGGTGGGTCACAGTTACGCTGTGTTGGTTTTTTTTAATACCAAGGATTCCAGGGATTTAGCTCAGTGGTTTTGGTGCCTGCCTTGAAAGTGGAAGGTCACGAGTTTGATCCCTGGACCCAAAAAAAAAACCAAACAATACCAAGGATTGAACTCAGGACCTGCGTTTGCCAGGCAGGCTTGGTGCCACTGAGCTACATCCCCAGCCCAACGGCTGGTTACTCTTGCTGCCAGGGTGCAAACAGACTCCAGGGGCCCAGAGGCCGGGAGAGCTGTGAGGGTCTTTTGCATTAAAACCAGGGAAGCGGGAGTGACTGGGATTGGGGTGGTAAAGCTAAGTAGTGAGGTGTAGTTGGATGTGAGCTGGGTCAAAGGAAGAAGCCAAAGCCGACAGCTGGCATAGGGGAGGGAGGAGAAGGCAGTAGCACCTTCAGGTTGGGTGATCCTGGGGCGGGGGGGACACCCCAGCGAGGAGCAGCTGCAATGAGTTTGGCCTGACAGTGCTGAGAGGTGTGGGAGCTGAAGCAGCGCTTCCACCAAGGTGGAAGCTGTCCCAGATCTGAGCAGGCAGCTGGTGCACAACTCATGGGCCTTTGCACATGTGGCAGGTGGGTGCTGCACCTGAATGTGGGCCATGCTGTCCCCTGGCAGGTGCCACCCATGTCTGAGGAAGTGTGCTGTGGGTGGGTGGTGGACAGGGTGGGGTGAGGGTCTACCCTGGTGGGAGAAGTGGCCACCCAGAGGGATGGCATTAGCAGTTCGGCTGAGGGGCCAGGCGGGGAGGGGTGGCTTTGATCCTCTGACCTAGGAGGGCATTTGTGACCTTGGCTGGAGCAGCAGCCTTTTTCAAGCAAGACCTAACTGGCTGTTTACATGGAGATAGTCTAAACGGGTAGGGGGAGATGAGTTGAGGATGCTGGGGCAGAGGGGCTTTAGAGTGATATCCTTGAGCCCAAGGGAGAGGATGGGCCGGTACAAAGTGGAGGAACAGGGCTGGGGATTTAGCTCAGTGGTTCCAGTGCCTTCCTCGAAAGCGCAAGGTCCTGAGTTCAATCCCTGGTACCAAAAAAAAAAAAGTGGAGGAACACTTAGGCATCAGGTGGGACTGAGGGACAGATGGGGAGAGAAGGCTGCAGGCAGTGTACAGCTGGGGCTGAGGAAGTTCTCACTGTAAAAGGACACAAGATCATTGTCTAGATGGAGTCAAGGAGGGTAGAGCCCCCACACAGGTGGGGTGGGGAGAGGCCTGTTTGCCAGGCAGCACTAAAAGCCTCTGGTGTGGGGAGATGCAACCAGAAGTTCTGTTCAGAGTGGGGAGGACGGTGGGAAAGATTGGAGATGGCATCTGTGAGAGGGCTGGGGGAGGCTGGGAGGAGTGGAGTGAGGGGGTAGGGCTGGTCTCGGGCAGAGCCAGGCTGTGTAGTGGGGCCTCTGGTCTGGCTGGAAGGTGAAGCTGCCACTGGCTTCCACCCTGAGTTCCCCTGCCACTCTCTTGGGTTAGACTGGATAAGCCACACTGTTCCAGGACAGATTTACCCATTTTTCATTTTCTTATTACAGTTTTTTCCATGCTGGGGATTGAACCCAGGGTCTGGCATATGCTAGGCAAGTGCTTTGCCACTGAGCTGCACCCCAGCCCCCACCTATATTTATTTTTTTATTTTTATTTTTTTGGTACCAGGGATCGGACTCAGGTCCTTGCGCTTGCACAGCAGGCGGCGAAACCACTGAGCTAAATCCCCGGCCCCCCTGCCCATATTTATAAGCAAACAGCCTGTAGCCCAGTGGCAGAGCCTGGACAGTGGCTGGTGACTTCTTTGGTCACTTATGTAACCGGTTTGTATGTGAGTGCACATAGCTTCCTGGGGCTTTTGGCAGGGTGGGGCTGGGGGCGCTCTGGGATGTGTTGACAGGTGACCTCCATCACCACAGCTGGAGTCAGGAGATTGGGTCAGCAGGTGGCTGCTACGCTGTGGTGTGACTCCTGCTATAATGTGACCTTTATTGGGGCAGTTTCAGGCCTGACACTGAGGAGTTGGGTGTGGGTTGCCTCTCCACAGGACCTCCACAAAAAGTACTCATACATCCGGAAGACCAGGCCTGATGGAAACTGCTTCTATCGTGCTTTTGGATTCTCCCACTTGGAGGCGCTGCTGGATGACAGCAAGGAGTTGCAGCGGTGAGGAGAGTGGGCGCTTGTGGGGCTCTTGTCTGGGGCTTCTGTGTGAGTCAGGGTGATCTTGTCTGAAGCCAGACAGTGCTGGCCAGGGAGCCCATGCTGGCCTCCCACCCACAGGTTCAAGGCTGTGTCTGCCAAGAGCAAAGAGGACTTGGTGTCCCAGGGCTTCACTGAGTTCACCATTGAGGATTTCCACAACACGGTGAGCCAGGCCTGGCTCCGGCTGGGCGGGGAGGGGGTGCCAGTCTGGTAGGGTTGAGCCCTATGCCTCCCTCACCGTGGCCTTCATCCCTCTGTGGGCAGTTCATGGACCTGATCGAACAGGTGGAGAAGCAGACCTCTGTAGCCGACCTGCTGGCGTCCTTCAATGACCAGAGCACCTCGGACTACCTGGTGGTGTACCTGCGGCTGCTCACCTCGGGCTACTTGCAGCGTGAGAGCAAGTTCTTCGAGCACTTCATAGAGGGCGGGCGGACTGTCAAGGAGTTCTGTCAGCAGGTGCTGCCCCGGACCCTCCCTCTTCCCTTGCCTGGGGTAGTGAGTGTGGGGGTGGGGCACGCACCAGGTGGTGGGTCTGACCTGCACCTGTGCCGCAGGAGGTGGAGCCCATGTGCAAGGAGAGTGACCACATTCACATCATCGCGCTGGCCCAGGCCCTCAGTGTGTCCATCCAGGTGGAGTACATGGACCGAGGCGAGGGTGGCACCACCAACCCGCACGTCTTCCCTGAGGGCTCCGAGCCCAAGGTCTACCTTCTCTACCGGCCGGGACACTACGATATCCTCTACAAATAAGGCTGGCCGGCCACTGCCGCCTCCCCGCCTGCCTCCCCTCTGCCAGGCGCTAGACATGTACAGAGGTTTTTGTGGTTGTAAATGGTCATATTCACTCCCCCTTTCCTGTCACATAACCTTCCATGTTTTATTAAAGGGGAAGCTGGTGGTGAGCTGTGTGTGTCCGTTTCCCTGCTCTGCTGCTGACTGCCTGCTGGCTGCTGTGTGTCTGGCTGCCCCCTCCCCCCTGGAGACTCCCCCCAGTTTTCTACCTGTCCCAGGCTCTCCTAGCAGGAGCAGTTTTGAGCATACTGGGCCACTTGGGGAACCCATCCTGAGACCTGGGGTTCTTCCTTTAAGGCCTTCCCCTGCCCTCAGTGGGCCCAGGGCTTCCATGGAAATTGTGGAAATTCTCTGGGGACTTGCCCAGGGTCCCTGGCTCCCCCTATCTGTGGTCCCCCCATAGGCCTACTTCTGCCCAGCTGTCCTGGCCATGCCCTAACCCCTAGCTTCCTGCCCCCAGCAGGGGTCTGCATGGGGAGTCCTGGGAGGACTGGGCTTGTGGGATGGGGCTGGCTTAGGGCAGGAGGGGAGCTGGGCACTGACTGTGTGCCCAGGTGGTGCCACCAGGGTGTGGGAGGGGTAGCTTTTGTCCTCAGGTCTAGGCAGAGTGCACCAGTTCTCATTCTTCCCCTGGCCGAGGCCCCTGCCTGTGCCTGCTTGGGACCCCCCTTTGCTTGGGCCACCTTGTCTCCTCCAACTGGCATTTGCCTTCACCTCTTTCCTCCCCCACCCCAGCACATGCGGGGCTCCTGTGCTCCTTGGGGGCAGGCCCTCAATAAATGTGAAGTGCTGCCGCTGCCTCGCTGTCTGGCTGTGCCTCTACCCTCCTGGTTCACCAGGACCTCTTGCCAGTTCTTGGCTTTACCCGAGCACCCTCCCAGGGCCCCAGCCCCCACCCTGAGCTGTACCCTGGGCCCAGGCTAGTCAGAGCTCAATCAGCGGGAACTGCACCGATGATCTTTATTAGGAGGCTTCTGTGGGCAGGGCTGGGGCGAAGGCTGGGGTGGCCCAACCGGCCCTGCTGCAGGCTTCTGCGACTTCTCAGAGCTGCGAGCGGGGCCCTGCAGGCCGGGAGGAATCTGAGGACAGAACAGAGAGGTTAGAGGAGCCTCGGCTTCTGTAGCCTCCCAGGCTGCCCTGCAGCCCGCCTCCCTGTATAGGGGTGAGCGCAATGCAGAGGGCAGCTGGTGTTAGTGGGCCAGGTTAGTGTAGGCGGCCACGCGGGGCCTGGCCCTGCTTACCAGTCCTGCTCAGCCTGGGTTGCCGGAGCCTCAGGCTGGAAGGCAGAGGAAAGTGAGAGCCCGCCCAGAGCCCGCGGGGAGGGGCAGGCTGGTCCGGGCGGCGGGGCACCTACCCACGGGAAAGTAGTGCGGCAACCGCTGCCGGTAGATGTTCTCGTCCTTCTCGAGAAACACGCAGATGACCAGCCGATCCACCTGCGTTGGGGTGGGTCAGCCTGGGCAGGAGCCCCCTTCCTGGCCCGCACCCCTCCCACCTCTCCTGTCCCAGCTAAGAACCCGCCTCGCCACTCCACCTCGACTGGGCCGGCCCACCTTGTTCTTGTGCTGCTCCAGCCATTCGCGCAGCGCCATCAGCACCACCTCGGCCGCTGCCTCACTGGGGTAGCCTGGGGGCGGGGACGGGACCAATGAGTCCCAGCTCTTGCCCGGCCCGGCTCGGCCCCAGACCCGGTCCTTCTCCCAGGCCCCACTCACCGAACACGCCGGTGGAGATGCAGGGGAAGGCCTGGGGCGGGTGAGAAGGGGGCGGGGCACCGTCACTCTGCGCCCCTCCGCCTACCCCTCCCCCCCCCCCGCACCGCCCCTCCCTGCCCCGCCCTTACCGCCGAGCGGAGCCCGTGCTCCAGCAGCAGGTCCAGGCTGCTCAAGTAGCAGCTGCGGAGCTCCGCAGCCTGGCCGGCGCTGGGCTCTCCGTGTACGATGGGCCCCACCGTGTGGATGACGTCTGCAGGGGCCATGGGGTCAGAGCGCCGCCATCTCTGTCCCCGTGCCGAGCGAGAAGGACCCACCCGTGCGTGCACGCAGCGTGTCCTGGAGCCTAAACCCAAACGTGCACACGCCCGCCCCTCCCGGGGATGCCGAAGGGTATAAGGCACCGGAAGTTAACAGGTGCGCCTGCAACTGTGCTGCTGCCTATACACGTGTGGCGGGGTGTTGGGACTCACACTTGGCCGGCAGACGGTAGCCGCCGGTGATCTTGGCCTGGCCGGTCTCGCAGCTCTGCAGGGTACGGCACTCATCCGTGAGCAGAGGCCCAGCGGCCCGGTGAATGCAGCCATCCACTGTGAGGGAGGGGAGTGAGCCGGGTCTCCCTCATCCCTGACCTCGCTTTACCCAAGCTGAGGCCCCTGGGCTGAGGACTCCCAATCCCAAGAAGCCTCTCCCTGGGCTGTGCTTGGGCTGCTGGGGCACCACTCTGCCCCATCACCCACTCCTGGAGTTGGTTTCACACCTGGGGAAACCGAGGCACGAGGGGCTGCAGCCCTCCCTGGCGTGGCGCCCAGCACACTTCTCCCTCTTTCAGAGGTTAGAGTTGAAGCTGCCCTCCCGGCTGCATAGCGGACAGACCTCCGCCCAGGCTTAAGCGTTGCTTGGACCCATCTTCCCAGACAACTCCCCAAGCAGCCGAACCAAGCGCTAGAATACAGTACATTTTCCAGATGAAACAGACCCGGTAAGGGGCCAGATTCTGCGTCCCTGAACTGCATCCCTGAGGTGCCACGCCGTGCCGTGCCAGGGGGTGGAGGAGCCTCCCCAGGGGCCTGGGGTGGGCAACCCCAAAGCCCAGCTCCTTAACGAGCCATCTTATTAGGGCATCTGGCTTAATTGCCACCAGGCTCATTTTTGTATACCTGAGCAGGGATCTAGGGCTCCAGAGCCACCCTGGGGATCCACACCCAGAAAAACAACTCATGGGCAGATGGCTCAGAGGTGACCTGGCCTAGATAGGCCCCTCACAGCTGCCAGACTCTGTCCTTTCCTCTGGCTGTGTGCCCACTGTCTCATCTGAAAAAGGAGGACCCTCTAGGCAAAAAACAGATGACCCCTCTGGGGTCATCTGACAGCTCTGATGGCACCCCAGGCCTGTGCCAGAGGCTCCCTGCTACAGCTGCCTGGTGCTGGGGTGCTGGGCTCAGGAAAGGCCATCGCTTTCCATTGGACAGATGCATACACCTACACCACGGCCTTTTCCCCTGTGCCAGCTCCCTCCAGCCCTCCACACAGGCCCGGGACACCATTGGCCCAACCTTCCCTCTCCAGCTGCTTGTTCGTGTGCCCTGTGGGCCCCAATTAAACCTCATTTTTCAGCTTCACTCGGAGCTGGCACCAAGTGACTTCCAAGGAGCCTGGGGTGAGGGTAAAGGGGCAGGGGACCCCTGGGAGTGGCTCAGGACCATGCTCCCAGACCCCTTGGCCTCTTGCACTCTTCTGCAGTAATAAAAGGAGCTGCAGCCCATGGGAGGAGGTGAGGGTGAGACAGGCAGGGCTGGGTGCCCAGCAGGGAGGTCTGTTCTGGGCAGGGTGCTACTAGGTACCCAGCGTGGTGTGCAGCAGCAGTTGCCAGGGAGCTGGGCAGCCTGAGTTCAAATCCTAGCTCTGACAGCCACCACTGTGTCACTCAGGCCCATTCAGCCTCTCTGGGCCGTATAGCACTGCCCACCTCTTGGGGTTGGAAGCTTTTATTCTAGTGGTACTGGGGATGGAACCCAGGGTCTGGTGGAGGCTAGGCAAGTGCTCTACCACTGAGGTACACCCCAAGTCCCAAGTGAGTTCATCCTTGTAAAATGCTTACGCTGGTGCTTGCCTGGAGTGGAGGTGAAGCAAGTTGTCCCTTACTATGAGAACGTGGCTGTAGCCATACGGGTGTGATGTGTAGGAGTGACGGGAGGTGGGTGTGCACACATGTCCCTGGTCTCCCGGCACCCAGCTGCCTGCTGGCTCCCAGTGCTAACCACCCTGCAGGTGACCTTAGCGGGCTGTGAGGCCCCTTCGGAAGTGGAGCTGGGTGAGATCTGTGCTTCGGGGACTTAATGCTTCCTGCAGCAGTGGACAGGCCTGCAGCCAAGCCTTTCAGGCTGACCTGGGGGCACAAGGGAGATGAAGGGGACTGGAAATGTTGTGAGCTAAGGCCTTGGGCCTCATCCAGCCATCTCCATAACAGTGCTAGGGTCAAGTAAGTGACAGCTCTGCAGGCACCCAGGGGAGGGGTTCTCCCCACCAAAGACACTGGTCCCCTGTCCCCACAGCCTTCTGCTCCCTCTCTCCTTGATGCAGAGAGGGTCCCAGTCTGGCTGTCTCTGGCCATGCGCTGCACACTGCCTGCCACCCCCAGTCTCAGCTGAGGCCAGATGTCACCCGTGACCTGACCCTGGCCCCTAGGGCTGCCTGGTAGGAGGCGAGATGTTCCAAATTCACACCAGATGACTAAGTCCCACCACCAAAAAGCCTCAAAACCTCCAGTTTGATCCCACCCCAAGTTAGCAGAAAACTTGGGGACTTTCCAGGGAGACTGGGCCCTCCTGGGTGGCAGAGCCTTCTCAGATGTCTGTCCACTGAGCCCCAGATGACCCCTGCCACCACCTGTGCCAGAAGACCCCTTCGCCTCCACCGTCAAGCTCCCATCTTTGCTCCTTAACCTCAGCCCCTGTGCTGGCCACACCCAGGTGCCAGAAGTCCTACCCTCTATGTTGTTTGAGCTCACAGCTTCCAGGAGGTACTGCCATTTTTCCTCCTTTATACAAGAAGAAACTGAGGCCCAGAGAGGGCAGCAGCTCAGGTCACACATCTGGAATGTGGGGTCTCTGCAAGCTCGGTGGCTGTACTGCTCTAGGCACCCAGAGGCCCACCGGCCCTGCCCACCTGCACCTCTTTCCCTGCTCCCTGTCTGGCTGGCATTTGCCCCTCTTCTGAATGCTTTGGGAAGGAGGTCTGCATGGCTGCTTCTGTGAGAACCCTATCACTGCCAGCCCCCTAGCCTGGCTCCTGTCCTCTGGCCACATCAGTACATCCGGATCCCTGACCTGTCCTGGGTGCTCAGCTTCCCGGCCTCCACCCAGCAGACTCCTCCGCCTCCAAGCTGTGTTCTTCCAGAGCTCCTCTCTGGAGGCTGCTGTCCTCCATGCCGCACCCTCCCCTAGAGCCTGACCCTCCACTCTGGGCCTCAGCTTCTCCCTGCCCGGGAGATCCTGACCTCCTGGCAATAGGACAGTGCCCTGCCCAGGTCCCAGAGGGGCTTCAACCACACCGCACCCCTTCTCTGCCACTGTCTGTCCGGGAGGGTCCACAGGAAGGAAGGCAGGTGCCCAGGGCCCTGCGTACCCCAGCGCAGAGGCTGAAGGCAGGCAGGCTCCAGCGAGGCCATTATCAAGGTGCGGCCCACACATTGGCCGCCATTTAGGGTGCTGTAATATTCATGAAGGGAAGATTAGATATTTAAATTTATTCAGCAATAAATGCATCTCAGTGGGAGAGCATTCCTCATGCTAAACAAACAAGCAAGCAGGGGCTAATTCATTATTTACAGGAACATGAGCCTGAGGCCTGGGGAATGAGGGGCAGTCTGGCCCCTGCCAGAGGGCAGGACACTGGCCAGCCTCCCCCTCCAGCACCTGGGGCCTGGCCCCGTGCACTTCTTCAAGATTACTGGGAGCTTTGGGTAAACTCCAGTCTCAGAACCAAGTCTCAAGGCGGGGGTGGGGGTGGGGGTGGGGGTGGGGGTGGCTCTGCCACAGGCCGGGAAGTGACCCAGGGAGAGGAGCCTGAGGGGCCAGAGGGAGGCACCAGTCTCCCAGTCAGAGGCGCAGCAGAAACGAAGCCCGGGAGATAACCTGTTTCCCAGAGGTGGAGGCAGAGACGCTTTCTCTGAGTCACACAGCAAAGTAGGCCTAGGCAGCCCTCACCTCCACCCAACCTCCCGGGGCCACTGTGTCCCCAGAGCAGGGAAGAGAGCAGGGCGGAGCTGGGCCAGGTCAGAGGGTCCTGGGTCGCACAGCCTCTGAAATGAGCTCACTGGGGCCAGGTGGACGTGGCTTCCAGTGGCAGGGAAGACCCAGACCTGTGGGACACCAGGGCACGCAGCAGCCCAGAGCCAAGTCCCCTTGCCTGAGTTCTTCCAACTCATCTCTGGGTCACCTTCTTCTCTCTGTGCCTCAGTCGCCCCAATTGTGCAGCACATACAGGCACCTCCTTGCTTGGATTAGGCATTCAGTAAGACACTGTCCAAAGTGCCCTGTGCTTGATCACAATGTCACTCTCCTTTTACAGACAGGAGGTCCTGGCTCAGCCACAGGCTCCACAGGCCAGATCTCAGGCCCCTCTAGCTCTTGGGCCTCATGGAGCTGAGCAGCAGGATGTGCTGCTTCTGTGGCCCTCAACAGCCCTGGGCTTGCTCCTGGGTCCACTGCCTTCATGGACTAGACAGGAGCAGTGAGGAAGGCAGGAGGGGCCACAGCGGAAAGGGCGTGGGGAGACACACGGATCTGGGCCTTGGGACCTGTTCGTACCTGGACACCTCGCCCTGTGGCCCCTGCCTGGGGACAGCTCGTACCAGCCTTGGCTAGGCCTGTAGCCATCATTATGGAAATGGTGAATGGCAGAGCTGAGATGAGGAAACTGAGCCCCAGAAAGAGTATCAGCGGTGTTGGGTCAGCACTGAGGCGCTCACTCCAAGCTCCTACCTGCAAGGGCAGGCCCAGCCACAGAGGCTGGCTGAGGGGCCCTGCTGGGTGGTGGGGGCTGTGCCCACCTCTCTCACTCATGCTATGCTCTGCCTCTGCATCCATTCACCTTGCAGGCCCTGAGGATGTCTTCAGAACCACTGTGCCTTGGCCCACACCCTCTGGTCACTCATTCAATCAACAAACACACTGGCCCCAGCTCTGCGCCAGGCTTGGCTGGGCCCAGGATGGGTGCAAAGCCCACCCTTACCAGGCCCCACCCTCGAGGGCCAAAGTGGGTGGGTGCCCCAGGGAGAAGATGGATGGATGACAGCTCTGAGATGTGATCTGAAATTCATTACGGGGTGAGATCAGCTCCTTAAATGGGGATTTGAAAACATTAGGGCTTCATTATGTACACAACGGCAGTGCCTCATTCATCATGCAAAAATCACTCCCATTATTAAAAATCCCTGTGGCAGCCACATGCAGGGACTCGGTGGCATCTTGCCTACTGGGGCAGGGCACGAGCCCCACAGGCCTGCTGGCCTGTGCTGGGCCCGTGGGGCATAGGCCAGAGTCTCCACAGGGACTGCATCCCATCATCCCTCTCCTTAGGGAGGGCC